GTAAACGACATGTTTGCATGGCCTAGAAGGGAAGAGTGTTCAGCACCGATTGAGTGAGGGTCACTCGGCCCGCCATCGAGAGCGTTTTAATGCTCCAGCCCGCGAGACGTGACTCCACGTTATCCAAAATATGAGCATACGTGGTCTTAGTTACTCGCCCATGAATCATCGGCATACCAAGATACTTGCCCAAATGGTCTGTTAACTTAAAGTTAAGCAAACCAGCTAACCGAGCTTGTTCCTAGGGGGTCAACATTATTGGAAAAGAACACTTGCGTCTTCTCCGGGCTTACCTTAAAGCCTGACGGTTCGCAAAAGGTACGCATGACATGATTCAGAAGCATCACCTGATCATCCGAGGCCTCCAAGAAAAGCATGAGATCATCAGCAAACATCAAAAAAGGTACCGAGACTGCTCCTCTCCCCACGGAAATAGACCGCCACCGCATCGCATCGACTTGTTGACCGATTAACTGGGCCAGTCACTCTATGCATAGGACAAACAAATAAGGGGACATGGGGTCGCCTTGACGGATCCCCCTCGACGGCTTGAACTCATCACAGACTTCGCCATTCCACAACAGCTGCATGGAGGATGAGCGAATACAGGCCATAACAGCAGTGACCAGCTTATCAGGGAACCCTGCAAGGTGCAAAGTTTCGTCAATGAAATCCCATCTGAGGTAGTCGTAGGCCTTCTCCAGATCGACCTTAATAACCATATGTCGTTTGGTCCCTCGCTGAGTGCCCATAGAATGAATCAACTCTTGAGCAACGATAATATTATCGGAGATCTGCCTCACTGGGACGAAACTGACCTGTGCTCGATGAATCAAGTCAGACAAGGTCCCCTTCATACGGTTCACCAAGATTTTGGTAAACAGCTTATACACGACATTAAGCAGAATAATCTGTCGGAAGTGCTTAATAGTGGACGGCTTCTCAACTTTAGGAATTAGGACTATCAAAGTCTTGTTGACACTATGAGGGACCAATCCGTCGTCCCACATTTTCCGGAGAAACGCCCGAACTGAAGGGCCAATAGCCTCCCAATTCTGCTTGAAGAAAAGAGCATTAAGCCCATCAATGCCAGGAGCCTTGAGAGCGCCCATGTCCCGCAGGGCCATGGAAATTTCCTCGTCGGTGATATCACTGGCAAGCGGGTCCATCATAGCCTCATCACTGTGGGGAAAGAGACCTGGTACTAGACCACAGCATGGAGTGTCCCTCGTGTCAGTGTAAATACCCTTAAAATAGTTCGTCGCTAAACTCCGGAGGGCGGTTTGATCTGTTATCTGTACCCATCATCATCAACAAGCTCAAGTACTCGCCCACGCCTCCGGCGAAACTTCAATTGCCGGTGGAAGTAGGCGGAGTTCCTATCCCCCAAGAAAGCCCAGTCCCGAGCAGATTTTTGGAGTAAGAGCAGTTCCTCTTGCATAATCACCTCATCTAGCTCGGCTCAAAGCTCTCGTTCCAACACAGTAAGCTTGTTGCTGGAATAATATTGGCGACTCCGTTGAATACCCCTTATGCGAGCTAGAAGCCTTTTCTTCCGCTGAAAGATGTTGCCGAAGACAGCAGAGTTCCAACTTCTCGCAGCTGTCACAAACCTCGCCGCCGCCTCCTCATAGGACTCAGAAGGTTGCCACGCAGCATGTAGCATATCCCGATACCCTGGGTGTAGAAGCCAGGATGCAAGGAAGCGAAAAGGTTTCATTCCCGACAGCTGAACGCACTGCCGGCCGAAGTCAACTAACAGAGGAGAGTGATCGAAGTGAGCCCGCGGAAGTTGACGGACCCGCCCAATGCTAAATTTCTCAAGCCACTCCACATTAGCAATAAAGCGGTCAAGCTTTTCGGCAATCCGGCCAGTCGGTCCTTCCCCAAACCAAGTGTAGAGGTGTGCATCCGTATCCACCTCCTGTAGGCCATTATTAAAAAGCCAATCACGAAAGTCCTGGCTGATGTTGCAGAAAGTGGAGGAACCCCCTAGTTTTTCCGAGCGTCGCAGAAGGCAATTAAAATCACCTCCAATCAGCCAAGGCTCCGAGATGCTGGACGCTAACGTCCCCAAATCTGCCCACAACTGCTTACGGGTCGTCGCATTAGGGCTGACATAAATAAAAGATACTAAGCATGTCTCAGCATCCTTCGTCACCCGAACATGGGCCAACTGTTTAGTACAAAAGAGAACATCGACCATAACTGCCTCCGTCCACAAAAGCCAAATTCGACCAGCGAAGCCCTGGGCTTCAATCCGGAACGAAAACTCAAACTTACTATAACGAACAAAGTTATCAGCATTCTTTCCACTGATGCGTGGTTCAAAAATGGCGACTACATCAGGATGAACTTGATTCATTAAGGTAGATAAGACCCCCTTGAAATGAGGCGAGCCTGCACCTTGAACATTCCACGTAACAATATTCATAAGGAAACTATATGAAGGAAAAGACGAGTCGGATACGGTCAATGCTGGTCAGGAGACTCCTGTGCATCATCAATGCCCATGGGCTGGCTCATAGTGGTCGGGTCCACATTCAAAGAATCCTCACCCGGCCATGGTTCGCGGGGCACTCCACCAGTCGTGCCCTCCAGTACCATATCATCGACAACAACGTCATCAGGGGGACGTGCATGGGTCGTATGAACAGTACCAGGTGGGATCCGCAATTCATCAATGACAATAGCTTGTTGTTTAGTTGGGTCAAGGCCCGCTCCCACCTGAATATACTCCCTTTTCGAACCGGCTTCAACCTGTGCTACAGACCCATTACAGATCACTATCGATCGTGGCCTCGAGCTATGAACATGAATCTCGGTCAAGTCTTCGATCACAGATTCCTCCCGTATAGGCTCGGTACTCATGCCAACCGCTGCGGTGCCAAACTTGGTAGCCGGAGGCTGTTTTGGTTTCTTGCCCTTCCGTACGACCACCCTCCAATCACTCTCACCCTGCTTAGCGGCTGTCGAAGAAGGAGCAGCCATTTGTGTCCCGGTAGTCCCTATGTTATGTGTACTAAAGGTGAAGCTCAGAGGTTGTTCCTGGAGATCGCCCCGATCCAACAGGTCAAACCGTGTGCCCAGACTAGAAGACGGGTTAGTGCTGTGACTCGTGGGTCCCGGGGCCCCACTTTTGCTGCGGCGAGTGTAAGGTTGGCGGGTTCGTTGTGGGACCTGAATCCAAGGGCCATACTCGGACGCCGGGGCACCCTCAGATGGTGAGGTCTTATTGCGGGGCCTCCCATCGCGACCTTCCTCATTCGCAGGAGCAGAGGTAGGTGGTGTAGCTTGTTGGGCTTGTTTCTCCTGTGGGGTCGGGCTGTACAGGCAGGAACTACTCGAATGGCCAATCCGACCACATTGGAAACAAATAGTCGGAAGGCTTTCGTAGACCACACGTTGTTGCCGCTTATTAATAGTAAAATTGACACATAGGGGTTTCGTAAGATCAACAACGACTGCGAGTCGAGCGAATTTGCCCCTGGTAAGTGATGTCGTCTGTTGGTCAATCTTGACAACCTTCCCCACGACCCGACCGATGGTCTAAAATATCTTCTTTTGGTAATAGTGAGCAGGCAGCCCAGGAAGCCGAATCCACGCTACGGTAGTCGTGATTTCCTCATTCATCGCATCAAAGTCGAGGCTCCATGGTTGAACGTGCAAATAGCCATTACCAACGACATAGGGCCCACCAGTCATAACCTGAGTCGCATCATCATGGGTACGGAAGTGTATAAGGTAGAAGCCATTCTCGAGGTCCATCATTTTGCATCCCGCCATGGAAGGCCACATTTTAACTAGTCGATTATACAAGGACGCCATCGTTAGTGCTTCATCAAAAGGTTTAACAACCACCACATTCATCCACTCCAGGGCCATACGATCAAAAAAGCTTTGCGGCAGTTTGATATCCGGCGACGGACTAGAAAGGTCCACAGATACCTCTTCATCACCGGCCTCGTCTTCCTTGTCATCCTCATTATCCACATGGTGCCTGTGCTTATTGATCATGTCGCGGTAGGACCATCTCTGTGGCGGGGCAGCACGCAGCGAAATCGGTCGGCAATTAGGGTTTGGATTCCCTGGTGTGGGGGGCGGAATTGCAGAGGATGTCGGTTTAGGGCTTTGGGCTGGTTGCGCCAAGAACTCTCCCGAGCGGTTACGGATTCTGGAACGTTTCGGGGCCGGAGGGAGATGCTGCCCAATCAGCGGGAAATCAGAATTGAAAGAGTCCGGCGGGTCGACGCCCGGGTCGACCGTGGCCATAGTCGGATTGGGAGCGGAGATTGTTGTTTCGGTCATAATTATGTATGCCTGTATGACTATACACTAGTAGAAGAAACGTCTTTTATAACAGAGTTTTTGTAACGGTTCTGTTGAACCTGCTATAAAAATACCGTCGGTGGCATTTTTGTATTAATCTTGTTCTCTTTATATCGGGTGTTTATGAAACTATAACGAGTTTAAAACCGTTATAAAAAGTCTTTTTTACCCGTTATAAAAACCGTTTTTTCTACTAGCCGAGCATCTTTTTCCTCAATTAACTTCTCAAAGTATAAAATCTAGCTAACTTCCTTAGTAAACAAGTATGTTTATACTGTTAATGCACCATGATCATCATTATAAGTGCAGGGGACTTTGTTTTAATGGTTCTAATAAATCTTTTGTCATAATTTCTCCAATTAATAAATCCTAATGATCTTGACGGTTCAACACATCCCTACCTATTTTTCTCACACAAAATGAGTAAAAAAAACAAATGCCTTGAGGCCTACACATCTTCGAATAACATGCATTTCACCTACCCTGAAACGGGCTCTAATGAATTTATTACCAAACAATAACTAGACATTATATTCTTCTTTAGTACCTTATCAATGCCTGAACAACCTACGAATCTATAAATTCTCCGAAAATGTACACGCACACAACTGTCATAACAGCATGATTTTCCAAATTATTTCATCATAATTTGGTCTCGAATCAAAGCTAGCATGAGCCACAGGAAGATTCATTCACAGGGTTATGTGCCGTTTTCCTGGGAAGAGAAGCCCGGAATCTCCAAGTTCAACCACCAAAAGACGTCCTCGGACGTGAACCTAACCGATATGAAACTCCTGCCCGAAAATTCCAGTGGGGCCCACAACATTAAAGTCACCCCACCTCCTCCGTGCAATTCTCGGCCGTCGACTACAAGCTTCTCAAGAAAGGGGTCGTGGTGGCTGGACGACCCTTTTCTTGCCGCTTTAACTTCGTGCACAAAAGGTGTTCCGGAAAAGGAGCCGAGTAAGGGGAAGAATGTAATCGGGAAGAGGGCCGGCGTCTTCTCATGCAAGCATTCGTGTGATGTCGAAAAAGATAGTTTCGTGAGGCTTACAAAGCTTCCTCCCATTCCGAAGGAGAGGTATAAGGCTAGATCCTTGGTCCGGAACTTGGATTATTAGGGCATCTCCAATGGTAATAGCTATTACTAGCTATATAGTCAGCTGACATGGATATGAAAGATAAGAAAAATAACTATTTTATACTATTGGACCCACATACTCCTCTCACATAATATTGGGCTACGTGAAATAGATAAGCTATTTGTTAGTAGCTAGTGACTACTCTCTCTCTTATTTTTCCCCTGTCCACGTCATAATAACTAGCCAAATAGCTAACCATTGGAGACACCCTTAGCAAGTGACTAATTAGTTGTATGATGAGCGTGTAAATAGTATATTAAGGCCGTGCTTGAATATAAACATATTCAGATTTTTTTGGTTAACCATAGTAAATTTTGAAAAAGATTGTATGTTCAGTTGTAAGTTGAATTTAGAGTTAATATGAAAATAATAATTAAATTAAAATAATAAAGTTGATTTGATGTAAAAGTAGGAGAGTGATGACAACGAAGCGCAACTCTGGTGGTGTTCGCGTATACTTTTAAAGCTCGGCCGCAAAGGTACGGCTTCGCTTGTAGTATGTGGCAAACAATGTCGTATCCCAAGAGACCAAATAATTAATATATCAAATACAAGATTATGATAGTGTCAAGTTTATTTAGATGATCGAATATGAGATGAATTAACTAAACTAAGAAAATGAATCAAAGGAAATAAAGTAAAAATAAAGAACTAGCTAAAAAACACGTAACAAAATATATGAGAATGATAGATTCTAAGAACATGGTTTCAATTAATAGTTGAGTTCCTTCAAAAATAACACAAGTAAATGTTCTTTTATCTACCCTGTAAGATGATCACAAATTTAGCTTATCGTCCCTCTCGAGGTCGGATGGAAGGAAATTCGAGGTCCTTTGTCTCAAACCCACTATCTCCTCTCGTCCTTCGTGCATGTGGCGGTTGAATGAAATTCGAGGTCAAATTTCGCCCTTTCCGCTGATTCTGGCAGGAGCTCTGCTTTGAGAGTCACCTTGGTGTTGTGGGGCTGCTGGGTGGGTGTGGTTCAGGGGGATGGAGTCGGGCGTGGCTCGGGCGACTCGCGACCTCTGTATCGTCGTCGTTGGGGCTGAGATGAAGACTTTGCCCCTTCTCCATTTGTGCTCTGTCGTCTGTGTATGGGTGGAGGACCGGTGCTTTCGAGTTCTGCTAGTGGTGTTAGTGGGATCGAGACAACAGTTGTGTGGGGGGTCCCGTCGGAGTTTCTCCGGCTAGAGGTGGGTCAGCCTCCTTCGAGTATTGGGGTTCGAGTTTCATCTTTTGTTAGGCGGATCAACAGTTTTTGGGGTGATTTCTTGGGTCTCGATCTCTTCTTTAGGGTTGATCAGTTGTCTTCTGGTTTCGGCTCGGTAGTTTCGCTGTGGAAGGGCTAATTTTTTTAGTTTTGTGTAGTTGTCTGATTTGTTGTTTGTTTAGGATTTGTGTTTCTGGTTTGGGTCGTTGACCCCTATGCTATTATCCTTTTGGGATCTTTTGTGTTTATTCTCCTATTGAGAGCTTGGTAGTCGTTTATTTAGTTGTTTATGTTTGTCAGTTGTGTCAAGAGTCTTGTTTCGGTTTCTAGCGTTGCTAGTGTCGGATTTAGGCGGTCTTCTGACCTGTCCTCACTTCATTCAACTTTTGGTTGTATTATTCAGCTAAGGTTGTACTTTCGCACATTTGTGCGTTTTGATCTATAAAACTTTCTATCATTCCGGGAAAAAAATCACATATATTAGCGTCTCCACTCAACACATGCAATTTAACTCCAAATAGATTAAAAGATCTAATATCCTCACAACGACTTACTAATCTCTCGATTCAAGAAAGTAAATTGTGTCAAATATTAAAGACTTAATATTGAACTCATTTATCGAATTATAAACAATATTGTCAAACATGTAAAAGCATTGATCAAGTGCTAAACATGAAAAAAGAACAAAATATTTGAATAGAGTTCAAAAGAAGACAATCAATAATAATAATTCATCCAAAATCCCAGCATATTAATATACTACCAAGTCCTAGAATCAAATAAACTAGCCAGTCATGTTCGAATTTAAATACATAGACATATTAGAAATCGACATGATAAATAAAAGTTCAAACGAAAGAAGAAAAAAAAAACTAGAAATCCCGTCGATCTCTCAATCTCCTTGATTTCTTCGTAGTTGGATTTTCTTGTTGCTTCCCAATTGTCTCTCTTGTGTGTTCTAGGGCTTTTCTTCTTGTGCCTCACGTTCTCCCCTCTCAAAATAGGGTAAATATGTCTTTTATAATGTCTAAAACCCTTCTCCTTTTGAAGCCTTACTATAGTGAACAAGCAAAAAAAGACGTCGAATACATCTTCAGAGTAATTCACGAAGGCGTGTGCGGCAACCACTCCGGGGGGTACGCCCTCGCCCATAAAGTTCTAAGGCAAGGTTACTATTTGCCCAGCCTAAAGAAGGACGCCCTGGAGATGGCCCGAAAATGTGCTAAATGCCAAACCTTCGCGCCGAATATCGTTAAACCTTTAAAGTCAATATTCAGCCCGTGGCCATTTGCGAAATGAGGGGTCGACCTGATCGGGCCGACGGGCAAAAGAGGAGTGAAGTACGCCGTCGTCGTTGTCGACTACTTCACAATATGGGCAGAAGCCGAACCTCTGGCTACCATTACCGAACAGAAGATGATTGATTTCATGTGGAAGTCAATAATATGCCGTTTTGGGGTACCGAACTCTATAATCACGAAAAACAAAAGACAGAGTGAAAGATACATTAACTCCTAGGTCCAACCGCACTCATATTAGGTCGGCGACCTGGTGCTTAAAAGGGTAACTGAGCCTGATCCCGGACCCCTCAAACCAAAATGGAAGGGCTCTAAAAAATCAACGAGGTCCTCCCACATGGGGTCTATCGATTAGAACATTTGGACGGTACCCCCATCAATAGCCATGTAACTCGACGTTTCTGAAAAAGTTCTATCAATAGGTCTAGACTACCCGTACTCTCTAATTTATTTATCGTATAAAGTATTTAATATGTTATGTAAATAATGTAATCTCCTTTATTTTGCTTTTAGTAGGTAGGACATTAAGTCTAGATCGAGTCGTGAGCGGCATAATTAACGTACATATTTTCTAAGAAACTGCACAAGCCAGGCTCAACAAGGTAGGCCGGTCAGGCCTGAATAGCATCAAAGTCCGACAAGTGACTCGTTCAGGTGAAAAACAATTAACGCAATTATGTGCCAAGAAACTACACAAGTCGGGCTCAACAAGGTAGCTCGGTCAGGCCGAAAATACCATCGAGTTCGACAAGTGACTTTGTCAGGCAAAAGTTCCCAACGTAAATAAGTAAAGATAAGGCGTTGGGCTCACAGACAGCCCGATCAGGCAAAAATACCATCCAGTCCGATAAGCGACTCGATCAGGTAAAGCTGCCAACGTAATTATGTGCTAAGAAATTGCAAAAGCCGGGCTCAGTAAGGTGCCGGTCAGACCGGAATATCACCGAATCCGGCAAGCGATTCGATTAGGTAAAAGTTGTCAACGTAAACAAGTAATGGTAAGGAGCTGGGCTCATAAGTGGTCCGGTCAAGCCGAAATACCATCGAATCCAACAAAGCGATTTGATCAGGTAAGAAGTTGCTAGTGTAATGGAGTAAATATAAGGAGCCGAGCTCGATAAACAGCCTGACAAAGTAAAAAAGCAATAATAAAAAATCAGTAAATAAGCACATCGTGAACGTAAAGACATGGTCAGGCCAAAACTGTCGTGATGGAGTAATAAAGTAACTGCGCAACATCTAAAAAAGTAAGGAATTGTTTCAATATCAGGCACAACAGAAAAGTGCAAGCAGCCAATCAAAACAATCGACTCAATCAGGACAAAACAGCGGCAAGCCAAAGATTAGACTAACGAAACTAACAGTATGTTATAAATAAATAAGACACAAATGGACTACTCTGAACTCACCAACGAGTCCGGACACATCGTTAAAGATTGAAAGCTTAAAAGTGCATCTCCGCAATAACAAAAAAGACAAAACTTTTTCTTTAACGTAAAAGCCAAACCGACACCCAAAATATGATACGATAAGAATAAAAATCTTTTAAAAACAGATAAGATAATTGTTCAAAGAGCCACAGTTGGCCAACAAAAAAGGCATGCATGCCCGCACAAATAAACATCAGAATAAGTAGCTAAGGATCGGTCACTGGGCTAGGAGATAGGATGACGACGTCCGGACGGGCTCCGAGTTAGCACCCCCGTCTACCATTGAAGTAGCGGGCTCGTCAGTCGCATCCTTGTCAACCCCCGAAAGGCCAGCCTCGTCATCTGACGCATCGACTACCAGAGAAAAGGGTTTGTAGCCGACCATCCGCTTCCCCTCTGCCAGGCGTAGTTCGCTGGGACTGGGGCCAAAGTTCGAGAGACCGACGATGACGTCGTCGGCCCACCCTTCTCAGTGGCGGATCAGCGCGGCCTCATCCTCGTCCTCGTCCACCTCGCATACTAGTCCGTCGAACTCGGCCTCCAGGTGGTGCTTAGCAATCGTAGCGCCCATGATCGCCCAAAAGTCGTCTAAGGAAAGCAAGCCGTGGTCGAGGCACTGGAACAACCAATAAAGGTTATACCTGACCCGAGAATCCATATCGGCAAGCATCTCGTGAGAGTAAAGCCCCTAGATCTCTGAATAAGGCAGTTGCTGGGGTAGAGGTGCAGGCACGCCGGACTCAGCCTATTTTTGGGTTCCTTAGTACGGGCATCGAGCTCAGCGCAAAGATCTTGGACCCGAACCAGAAGTTGACCCATCTCCTTCATGTTCTGCTCGTAGAGGTCGGCCATCTCCAACGCATGCTTCATCTGCAGATCGACCTTCTCCTCAGCCCAGTTCGTCCTTTCTTTTGTCAACTCGTCCACGGCTCTGGCCGCCTCCTCGGCCGCTTCGGCCTCCCTCTCCTTGGCCTTCACGGTCTCCTACGAGCCAGGATGAGCTATGTCTTTAGCTCGCCCACCTCTTCACCTTGTCATTCAAGGAACGGATGCGCCCCCGGCAGAGATCGTGAGTGTCCTCCAACTTCTTCAGCTCGACGTTTGATCGACAACGTAGATGAGCTCAACTCTGTTTTTTAGTGGATCCGGGTTGGCACGCCTGTACTTGTTGGCCTCTTTGACCGTGCTAAATCCCTGTTGGCGAAGTAATGAGTAGTAGACTGCAAAACGTGCACAATCAGTTAGAAAACAACAACAATGACAAATGGAATCCAAGTGCGACTGAAAAGACGAGTTGAGGTAAGATGAATACTTGGAACAAAGGACTTGTTGGGGATCACGGGACCAAATTATAGTAAAGAAGGTTTTGTTCCTCGTGAAGGGACCAGTAATTTCGATCTTCAAGTGGACGTCTTAGCAAAGTGGCGATCCTAACATCAAGGCTCTTTCTGAGATTCAAGTTCGGATTACGAACTGAAAATGAAAACACCGACCTGTTAGCACAAAGAATAAAGTGATATTAGTAGACAAAGAGAAGGAATTGAAAATACTCAATTGTGCTGAAAATAAAATGGGTGGGGGGATGCCGAGCTGCACCCTCAGTTCTCAATTCACCATGTCCTAGAACCACTCTGACATGTAGCCGTGCAACGTCTCGGTGAGTTTGGCGACCAACATCTTGTCAATTTCTAGAAGTGTCGAGGTGTAATAATTGCTGGTGTCGTCGAATTCTTAAAGGCGAACAACGCCTTCACTTTGTCACCGGTGGGGTGGGGCCAACCCTCACGACAGAACATCACGTTCAGGCACACGAGTCGGGCAAACACGGTCGGCACTAACTGGCTAATGCCAACGTCAAGCTCACTGAGAATACCGTTCAGCGCACTAGGCAGCGGGAACCGAAGACCCATGAGAATGCTGGATCAGTAAACCCCTATGCAACCCC